GCAACCTGGTCTAGTGGAAGGTGTCCCTGCTGCTGGCAGAGGGGTTGGGACTGGATGAGCTTTAAGGTCCCTTCCAACCCAAACCCATCTGGGATTCAATGATTCTAGGACAATCCTTCTGAAATGAAGCCAACATGATTGATAAGGTCCTGCAGGACAAGGCTGAGCGGGTGAAGTTAGTTGAAATCTGCTCATTTTAAGCAAAATGCTGAGGAAAGGCAGGAAGTTTTCTTACCGTGGCTCGTGAGAGGGTCCGCTCTGCTCCAGCATGGCAAACTCACAGTGCTGGTACGTGTACTGGGAATACTCCGTGAGGCCACTCACTGGGTTCTTCTCCTGACAAGCCATGAGCTTCTCGACGGGCGTACATGGCAAAGCCGTTTCAAACTGGGAGCCATAACTGGGGGAAGACTGGGAATTCATGATGGATTCTGACTCATCGGGCTGCTTGTTGATCGCGTTCAGATGATCTGGGATATCATCCATGGCCCACTTGCCGTTTTCAGAGTGATCATAATTACTCAAACTGGAGAACTGGGGCTTAGTGTCGCCAGGCAGAGCCGCTTCCCCCTCGCTGCCCTCGCTCTGGTCAGTCTGCCCCAGAGGCTGCTGTCCATTTTCCATACTTCCTTCTTCCGAGGCCGTCGCTGCTGGCGAAGCTGCAGTCGCCTCCTGAGGACACGGAGGAACAGAGGAAGGTGGAAAACCTGTCTGAGGTGTGGGATCCGCCACCTGCGTCACCGCATTGGCCTTCAGCCTCATCTGCATCCGTTCGCGTTTCCTGCCGGTCAGGGACCATCGCGGGGGGCTCGTGTTCTGCTTGTGGACATCCCCCAGCTTCTCCAGCGCGCTCAGGAAGGCGTTAACATCCTTGGCCCTCGAAAACCCAATGTTTTTGGCGAGGTTGAGCGCCGTCGTTTCTTCCACACTGAACAAGTAGTTGCAGATTTTGTCCTTTGTCTCGGCCATCATGAGATCGGTGTCCCCCGACTCAACCGCGCTCCTCTCCCCCTCTGTGCTCCCACAGGCTGGGTCTGTGCCACCACCGCTGTGGCCAGGGGGGCTCCTTTCTCTCGCTGCACTCCCACTGGCAATCCTCCACAGCGGCGGCGTTTCTCCACCTTTGTGCAACTTGCCTTCGTGGAAGAGTTTGTACAAAACACGGTTGACCTCTTTCTTGCGAGTTTTAAGCTTATGTGCGAGATCATGAACTGTACAAGTCTTCCCCTCCCCCAGCTGCCTGAAAATAGTCAGGATTTCTTGTTCGAGGTCTTGCCCAGCAAGAGACAGTCTCTGGAAATTCAGCCCGACGGTGTCAGAATCTCTGTCAGAGTTGTCCCGACGATGGTACTGAGGAGGGTAATGACGTGGTTCCACCCAGGGACGCTGGCTGGAGACCCTATGCCACCCTGCTCTGCCGCAGCGGGGTTCCCATCTCTCCGCAGGAGCCGCTGCCCGCACGCCTCCGCTGCCTGATTCGCTGTGTGATCCCTGTCCCTGAGGCCAACAGACTTCAGTGTCCCACTCAGTTAGGAACTGCTGGTGTAAAAAGGTTTCCTGATTAGTTTCTTGTGGGGTAGGAGGGCGGTTAAAAAACACTTGATGAGTGCTGGGGTGGTTACGCCTGGAGCGGGGGAGATACGAGCCTCTGCCTCGCCCAGCGCCTCTGCTCATAGCGCACAGCGGGGACACGGGCGTCGATCCGGCCGCTCGCGCGCCGGACGGAGGGGACCTGCGATGTCCTCTGCGCTCTCCTGTCCCAAACAGCTGTCTGCAGGGAGGAAAAAAAAACACAATTCGGAACCTATTTACACAACTATGAGATTCCCAAAGTGCAGTTTAAGCGGCTTCCCTGCCACAGAGGCGTTTCACGCACCTTCACCTCGTTAAGCTTTTCTGTTTTCTAAGTGAGACTGAATTATTCATATGAACACAAATAGCAAACCCTGGGTCTGCCCAGCACAGAGCCCAGCAGTCGGGGATCACAGGTGAAGTTAACGGCGAGACACACCTTTAATAAGAGGGACACCCGTGTCCTGGGGGCACCCAGCACTGCACTGCGAGCCGGGCCAGGGAGGGGATCATCCCGCTCTGCTCTGCACTGGGGCGGCCTCACCTCCAGTACTGGGGGCAGTTTTAGGCACCACAGGATAAAAAGAATATAAAGCTACTGGAGAGTGTCCAGAGGAGGCCACAAAATTGGTGAAGGGCTTAGAGGGGAAGCCGTATGAGGAGTGGCTGGA